AGAACCTCAGCCTAGCAGTTAAGAAACTTCTTCTAATTCCTAATCTATCAGCATGTGTGGGCAGATTGTACTATTTATCATACGATCACTGTATCATATCTGCCACGATACTACTTCAGCTTAATTTGTTCTCCTGTCCTTTTGCTATTCACCCTGTCATGTATTTCACATGACTTTCTCTTCCCTTTATCACCTCACCAGGTTTCATCTTCTCTTGCTTCAGTTTCCATTTTATCTTTCTTGAGCACAGGTGACCACATTCACATCAACTCACTATGGATTTGTTTATATGCCTAAATGATATGGACCTGACTTACATAGCTGAAGTAGGAGACTTGTCTTCTCAGACAATGGATGTAATCAGCAGAGAAAGCAAGTGCTTTCAAACGCTAACTGCCTTATCTACCCTCTTGTCCTGCATTGTGCTCTGGAGGAGCCTGCCTCTCTCGATTGTCTACATAAGGAAGCTTTAAGAAATTAGGTGTCCTCATCCTGGAACCAAAACTTTGTGGTAAGCATGCTAGAGGAGCACACCATAGCACTCTATACGATAGGAATAACGCTTCCTTGTTTTGTCAACAAATAGCTCAGCTGATACCTTGCAGGAGCTCTCTTTTTTTTTAATTGCTTTTTTTCTCTGCAAATTCTATACGTAACGATCTCAAGTGACTACTGTGTACTTTTGATATTACTTGTTGTGAACAAACATTGGACTGGCCTACAACTTCTTTATACATAAAAAAGATGGACTTGTAGTCACCTTATGTAAGAAGTAAAAAATTAAAAATTGGACTGCCTGATAGGCAACTCACAAAACCTTCACTCTCAACTAGTGCAAGCCAGGCGCTTTTAAAAGGGCTTCAGTAAGAGTTCTCCCTACTGGAACTGCACACTGACCCACAGGACTGAAATGTAGCCAACCTAGAGAACATGCTGGTGACTGAGATGTCCTTCTGTATGCAACTCATTGCACTGCAGACAGTTTCTGGGACACCCAAAAGAAAAAAAAAGGATCAGCCAGCTTTTCTCTAAAGTAGCAATTTTGCTAGCTTAAAACTTGTTTGAATCAAGATGAATTTTCTCAAGCACTATAAAAAGCACCTTTCTCATTTGGGAACTATCCCTCAAAGATTACACTGTGTGGATTGCTACCAGCCAATATAATTTTGCAAATGATAAAGCTACACCATCAGAATGCTGCAGCTGCCATTGGGCCAGCTTCAGCTAACTTTAACCAACTCCTTTACATCTTCCTTCTCAGGCAGCTCAAAGACTTGCTATACAAAAGGGAAAACTTTACTGATATCGTCTTTTTTATATCCAGGATATTTTATGTTATTTCTGAATGTAATGCATGAAATTCTGGTCTCAGTTCACATACTGACCTCTCAGTTCAGTGGTGATTACATTGGTTGCAGGAGAGATATCTTAAATTTACATTCAAGTCACTGAAAGCAAGATCTAATCCAGAAACTTCATCAAATGTTTCTATTTGTCTGGCAGTAAATAGTCTGATGCTATACTGACCAAGCTCACTGGAACAAACATCTTTTATTAACATGTGCTTAGCAGGTTTTAAAATACTCATAGGATATGTACATTACTGTTATCTGGCACGACCAGGTCAAACTTTAAAAAATGCATGGAATCAGTTACTAGTGCCACACTAATGTGAATGGAAGTACTTGAAAATTATCTACAGCATTTTTTCTTGCATTAAAAAATACCCCAAACCTACTAGTCTGTATATTAAGGCATTTTATTATCAGATACAACTGATTTTTATGGCAACTTTTGCCAATTTTTCATTAATCATTCCTAATATCTTCCTAGTTTACTAAATATTTATCACAAATAAAATATAATATGCAGATACACTGTGCAATCATCGGCTTGCGTTAGTGGATTTTAAAAGTGAATTTGCTGATTTACATCTATTGCTATCACGTATACGTGCACATAAACACACACACACACGCATATAATTTATTCCTACAGATATTTTATGCTTTGGTGAAACAAAAAAGACATATATTCACTGCATAAAATTCAATAAGAACATGTGTACACACATATATTTCAACAGAGTGAGAGATATGGGAAAGTTCTATTGTGAAATTGTGTTTCAAAAAGTCAAAATCTGTTGGTTAGCAGGGCCAGGAATTAAGTGTATGTCTGCAACAAGCTGTCAGTCTATGCAGTTTTATAAGAAACCTATTGAAACCTTGACAGAAATACCACTTATACCCAATGACAATCATTCATTCTTAAGCAATTGAGTTGAACATCCTTTCACACATGGCAGCTCTCCACAGTGACACCAAAACCAGAGTCCTTTGTCGCAACTGAAAGTTGTGGGTTTTTTTGTGAATTACAATGGTTGTTGGATACTGGGGACACATCAGCATGTATTCTTTAGAGCCATATCGATGCAAATGGAAGAGAACATTTTAAGGAAAGTAATTTTTCCACTTAGAGACATGGAGTTTATAACCAGATTACATAAGTTATTTAAGGTAAGGAACAAGATGCAGCATCATAGCTGAAGAGGTGAGTTTATTAATCTCAAAATATTTTAATTTCGTAAACACTGTCAGAGGCATTATATTTTTCTTTTCTTGTTCTTATGTTTCCTTTGGCAACATCTACCTTCCCTACTAACTTAAGGCATTTTTGCAGCCAGGTTTTGCAGAGGGTAGCATTTCATGTTAATGCACAAAGACCATCCAAGTTCTATGCAGAACGTAAACTCTACATATATGTTCAAGAAGACTATACAGGAATGCATGTCCTGTGTAGGCCTTTTGAGCTTTCCCTAACTCCCCAGAATAGAATTTTAAAATTCTACACCTACTACTTTGCACAAAAAATAATTTTTACATATACTAACAAGTGATGCCTTTTAAGTGCACTTCTGTTCTCCACCTATCTAAAAAGAAACAACACTATGTGAAGCACCTGACCAGAGCCAAATAATCGTTGCAATTTGAATGAAATAGTCACAGGAGACTGGGTGCATTTAGACCATGAATGTAGACAAGGTCAATAATACTGTATCCACTTTTGGTAACAATTACAATAAAGGAATTGAATCTTAACAAAGATTTGCACAGGTAGATAACATATCTCTGGCATGTAAAGACCAAGTTTAGAACTTACTTTTATCAGGTAATCACTTATAGGTAATGTGGTCATAGAAGCATTTATACCTTTGGAGCTTAAATGGATTTATCAGATAAATTTCTGTTGTGAATTATTTGCTCAGCTTGAAAGAAAAATATTTTACAATTGTGGGAACATATTTTCTTCTGGATGTTTTCTCAAGATAGACAGCTATCCATTTAGACAAGGGACTAAGATGAATCTAAGTCACCAGCACCGAATATTTACTACAACAATTGCATATGAGCATCAGGTTGAATTTAGGGGCTGAAATGCAGATCTCGCATCAGTGTAAAACAGAATAAGACCACAAGGCCTTTCCGTGTGAAGGCAGAGAAAGCAACACAGTGATGAAACCAGCAATAATACACTGAAACACTCCCCACCCACACCCTCCCCCCAGCTTTTCCTGCTCGGAATGACTTACTTTCTTATTATCAAGGTATAGCAGGAAAAATCTCTTTAGAAAATACTTAATTTCTCTAAAATTTGGTACAATGGGGTCATCCATTACTGATTAAAAAAAAGGCGGCAAAGAATACTTTTGAAAATAACCGATTTTTCAAAAAAGTGTGCTATTAGATATCCTCCTACATTGTAAGAGAAAACTAATAGCTCAGTTTTTTAAAAAAAGCTGGAAATTATGTATTTTGTATATGTATTATGTACAACAAGCTCAGGTTTTCTCATACGATTCTGCTTATACATTGTATCACGTGCAAAATCCTACTCTGCCAACTAAATGGCTGTACCTATATGCTGATACCTGTTTGCTAAATCAAGGGATTGTTGAACAAATTATGTGGAGTGAGCCTGCAGAACATAGAAGTGTTAATGAGCAAAGTGATGGGACTGGCAATGACAAACTCAGTTTCAGACCAGTAGATCACCACTTTGAATTAACAAAGATCACTGGGAATGAAAAGTTCTGTTCAGCTGTTGTACAGCTTAGGTATTCTCAACACAGAGATAAGACAACTGTCATATACTATCAACTTCAACTTATTTTTTCCGATATGACTGAAATAAGAATTAAGTCCCTGAACATAAAAGAGTACCACTTACAAAACTATACTTACCAGTGTATCTTAAACTAACCATATGTGATGAACACATATGCACGGAGGGATATTATAAAAAGAAATATGATACTACTTCACAAAACTTATATTTAAATATTCAAGTTTATGAAAATCTAAGACAACAGATACTTGATCCCCTAGGAGTTATTGCAAGTTAACATTCAGGAAGGAAATACATTATTGCTATTTAACTAAGAAAGCTAGATAACCAAAAGAAATTATGTACAATGGCAGCTGAACTGTTATTTATGTTTTCTGCTAATGGGAGTTAAATAAGATTGGACGGCTTACTGTCCTCTGCTGTAGTCATTGACGCCCAGTTGCTATAAGCATTGCCATAACCATTGGAGGCAACCACTCTCATCTCATACTCAGTGTACGGCTGAAGATCTCCAACCCTGTGTTGCAAGGAAGCAGTAGGGCTGGAAAGCAAACTGCAAAGAAAAACTGCATTAGTTACATCATTAAACATCCCAGCATCTAAAGAAAAACTAAAACATGACATGACTTGTAACAAAACAGCCACGATAAAGGTGAGCCACATTCAAGATAATGGGACTTTTCTTGCTCAGCAGTTGATGGTGGCCTTGTTATGGTTTGCGTACTCTAAAATGTCACCAGCAGAATGCCTCCGCCGCATCTGGAGTTGGTAGCTGGGCGCGCCTGGGGCGTTGTTGCGAACTGGTGTAGACCAGACAACCTGAAGACTGGTCGGAGTGGCAGATGAAAGCCTTGGAGGCATCACGCCATCTGGAGCTGTCGAAAAACATGGATGAATTAGAGCAGAGAAAACCACAGAGAACATATGCCGGGTGGAAACAAAATGCTCCATATACTGGAAAAACTGTTCCTCAGGATCAACAGCAATGTTAACATGGTCCATTTAGTTTAACATTTTCACTGCTGAACAATGCTATTTCTTTATTTTCTTCTTTCCAATACAGTTACGTGAACATCACTTTGCTAAAAGCAAACCTCCAAACACCAGAAGTAATTCAGAAGCAATATATTCTCTACCACCTGTTCAAATATTATCTAATTCTCCTTGTGCCCAGCTCTGCCACCCTGAGAAGTTAAAGAAATGCTCAAAGAAATGTTACCCGGCAAGAGTAAAATTGATCAGACTTTTTGTTATTCAGATACCTTCTCACCCTTACAAATTCATAATTTTAAAAGAAAACAGCAGAAATTTTAAGGGGAAAAAGGTATTTAGGTAGAAATCAAAATAGATTCACTAATGGCTCTGTCTCTAGTCCACTGTTTTGTTAAGGAAATTAATTTTTGTGAAGTCCAGGAACTGCAGATCAAAATCTGTCAGTAATGATACCACCAACGACCTTTAACTGCTGCAAATTTCACTGCATGCAGTAAAAACTATGCGAATTTGCACCCATGAGTTTATGGCTTCGTTTTTTCTTTAAGAAGAAAACAATCTGTTGAAGAAACTTTCTGTACATAAACACATCCAGAACTTTCATATATAATGCACGCCTGTAGGCTCAACTCTATAGCTCTTTTCTAGAGAGTTAAAACACTGGAAAGTTACCACCTTTGTCATTTAAACTCTTGTGTAATAATTTTGCTTTTCTTGGTCCAGTAGTTACCATTTGCTTCTTTCTTTTGTCTTTCCAATAGACATCTTTTGTTGCTCTTAATTTCTTCTTTCTCTCTACAGGAAAAAACAGTCTCACAGATCTGTAGCTTAAGGTGTAGTTGTAAGCCTCAAAGCGTAAGTTGTAAGATGAGTGAATGGTATTTTACAGTAAGTTTTACGATTTTCATTTACCACCTGTATATGAAGTGGCTACTAAGAGAAAAGTAACTGACTTTGTGATACACTGTCTGAATCATTCTTTCCCTGAAACAGATGAAAGGATGGTATTGGCTCAGAAAAAAAGTCATCAGGCATATACAATATTTTTTATTTATACATACATATACACACACACACACACAGATGTGAACTAGCACCTGGCTGTTTGATTATACAAACTAATGACTGGGGAACTTGGAAATTCTTCTGCTCCAGCTCCAAACTGTATTACATAGAAAGGCACAAGACATGGCTTGCTCCAATCTAGAGACTTGTTCTCTTACCCTTAAGTTCAAGGTCTGGCAGTTCTCATAAGAGGTTTTTACTAAAAGCTGGCTGCTGGGGTACCTAAGTTATTACCAGGTATTTTACTTCTGAGAATTGCCCCCTAGCCCTCCATTCCTTGTGTTTTTTTCAGGACAAAATGAAGTGGAACCAGATCTCCAGCTTCCTTCACTCCCTCCCCCTCCTCTCTGTTGCTGTGAAAAAGACAACATAAAATATTGAGGCTTGAGCCAGCCTGGCTACCTTTCAATGTTCCCTCCTGCTGCTGTTATCTAGACCTCAGCAATAAGGCTACAGTAAATCCCAAGTAAACTTGAAATCTTCCTGTTTCCAAATCCAGATGTCTGAGACTGAGGTTATTCATGGTTTGCAAATCCCTTGCCCAGCACCTTCAATGCCAATCAAGAGCTTGTGAGCTCCTCAAATCAGAGGGCAGAAGATGGCTGATTTAACTTGAACAGGCCCCCGTACCATTTCAGCTGAGCCATCAAACAAACATCTGCACACAAAATGCCTCTATAAGTGAATTAAATTTCACTCTCAGAGTAAAATGGAGAACATATATTTACCTCACTTAACATTGTTCTGTTTAGCAGCAACATAATTAATGTTGGAGTTAAGTTGTGCAATAACAGGGTTTAACTGTTATGGATGTAGAGTACAGTACTCATAGATAACCATGTATTATTTTGGCATCCCTTTAGAAAGTGATTCCTGAAGTTATTAGCAAGCAAACTCTGCCAGCATGAGAAAGATAACACAAATAATGTAAAAACTTTTATTGGAGGGTTTTAAAGTGTTTTCAAAGTTGGCACTAACAGAAAGACTCAGTGCCCCTTCAAATATCCCATTGATGGGCCAAGGTCAATTGTATGAGGTTTAACAAGGCCAAGTGCCAGGTCCTGCACTTGGGTCACAACAACCCTGTGCAACACTACAGGCTTGCGGAAGAGTGGCTGGAAAGCTGCCCAGCGGAAAAGGACCTGGGGGTGCTGGTTGACAGCCAGCTGAACATGAGCCAGCAGTGTGCCCAGGTGGCCAAGAAGGCCAATGGATCCTGTCTCGTATCAGGAACAGTGTGACCAGCAGGAGTAGGGAGGTGATCGTGCCCCTGTGCTCGGCGCTGGTGAGGCCACACCTTGAGTACTGTGTTCAGTTTTGGGCCCCTCACTGCAAGAAGGACATTGAGGTGGTGGAGTGTGTCCAGAGAAGGGCAACAAAGCTGGTGAGGGGTCTGGAGAACAAGCCTTATGAGGAGCAGCTGAGGGAGCTGGGGTTGTTTAGTCTGGAGAAGAGGAGGCTAAGGGGAGTCCTTATTGCTCTCTACAACCACCTGAAGGGAGGTTGTAGACAGGTGGGTGTTGTTCTCCCAACTAACTAGCAATAGGACAAGAGGCAATGGCCTCAAGTTGCATCAAGGGAGGTTTAGATTGGGTATTAGGAAAAATTTCTTTACTGAAAGAGTGGTCAGGCATTGGAACAGGCTGCCCAGGGACACGGTGAAGTCACCATCACTGGAGGTGTTCAAAAAGCACGTAGATGTGGCACTTTGGGACATGGTTTAGTAGGCATGGTGGTGTTGGGTTGATAGTTGGACTTGATCTTAGAGGTCTTTTCTAACTTTAATGATTCTATGATTCAAAGCAGGGTACTACCTCATTTAGAACTGAACTGTCTGTAGTTTAAAATGCACCAGTTGTTTAAGCAGACACCAAAATTCTACGCAGCAAAAAACCTACACCTAATAATGAATCTAATCAGCTGAGCTGAAATTTGGCCAGAAAGCAAATTTCACTTTTTTATTGAGGCGACAGTGGGAGCAACTCACTGAGGAGGCAAAAGCGTTAAATTTATTTCTGGTTCTGTCAGAACACATCACTTCACCTTTGTCTTTCATTTCTAAATCTGTTAAATCGAGATAATACTTATCCTTCTTTGTAAAGCTCTCTGAGATCTACAAAGTAAAAGCCCCAGTTAAGCTTTATGTATGTATAGTGGTGGTTATTATAGTGATACAGGAATGTTCATCAAAAAAAAAGATGTAGCTGTCTAAATGTCAATAACAATTCACAGCGCCGATGTTATTTTAATGGCGTAGGTAATCTCAGCTAAATGTTCAAATCTCTTCTACTAACAAAAGCACAGCATAGGGAAGAGTGGAAAATCTGGACAAATCTCTTCCGTGAAAGTCTATTGACCTGTAGAACAAGCTGAGCTCACTACTTTTGAAACAACATGTTAGAATATACAGCAAATTTATTTAATCTGAAAGACTTCCCATAGCTTGCAGAGAATGTCCTCAGCTATGCACTAGCAAGTGTCCTCAACTATGCGCTTCCAAAGGAACGGGGCAGGGGAGCAGGAGGGTACAACAAAGAAATTGTCAAGTCCCTGCAGAGTCATAATGAGAAAGGTGCTCTATTAAACTATTCACACTTTGATCATTAAAACTACAGAGCACTTCCCCCCAAAAATGGTAATTCTAAATTGCACACAAAACATCCTTTGACTATTTAAACACTGCTCATCACCAAGGTCTTCAGTGTAACATTTCCCTCACCTTAACCCTTTTTATCCGATCCATATTCCCGAGAGACTCCTTACTACCCAAGTAATAACTGGCAACCAGCAGTAATTCTACTGCGAATTTCTCAACAGAAGAGCCGTGTATCTATCAGCTTGATATATCGTCTTTAAGATGCAATGTTGCTCAAAAAGCTCTCCTCAAGCTTTAATATGACCCTCAGGGGGCAACCACTCCACTTGCAACCTACTGAATCAACATCTAGCCCAGTAAATCCTCACTTAGCAGGGCAGAAAGTCACACTATGTATATGAAGAGACTACAAAGGCAAAATAAAATATTTAATCAGATGTCAATTTTAATCAAAGAATTAATAAACAGCCCTGCAAAATAATACAATTGAAGACTGTATCAAGCTGACAGTGATATACTGTATTCCAGATACTCATGCAGATAAGTCAAGAAAGATCTGATTCTTGCTTGCCACTAATGTGCTAAGCAGTTTTTGAAAAGTGTTTCAACTTCTTGCCTCAGTTTCCTTATCTTAAACAACATATGCAGTAGTAGTCAGCTTTTTAGGTATTTGTTAATTTTAGGACAGCAAGCATTTTGTTAAATGAATATGCTTAAATTTTTACGCCATGTTGAAAGCCTATTTCTCTGAAAGGCATTCATTATAATTATCAAAAGGATATATCTAAAATGTAAATTTTCTGAAAGTAGAAGACGAAGTAGGTTTATTAAAAGTGAACTATCATTAGGACAATAAATTATTATTTAGTTTTAAAAATGTCTGCACTATTAATATTTAGTAAGAGGAAGCAAAGCCAGTAGAGCTCGATTTGATATCTATCAAATTTGTGTAAATCCACACCAACTTTGAAGCGAAGCCACACCACTTTTAACAGTGATCAGATCTGTTGGCCCTGCTGTATCCATAACATCTGCAGATAGGCAGCTAGAAGAGTTTGGAGCTATGTAAATGTAACTTTACAATTTGTCACCTCTGCACATGTAAAATATTTAGCACAGATGATGTATTTGCATCTTATCTAAATACTTTTCACACACATGTATGCAAAAGATAACTGCAAGTATTTAGCTACAGAGAAGGAAAATAGGCTCTCCACAGTT